GGGGGGGGGGGGGGGGGGGGGGGGGGGGGGGGGGGAATGTTAAAATAGGATATGAAAGGAAGACAGATTTTCAGGCATAATTTGACCTGAAATCTGGCAGTTGTCTTGAGTGCTCACTGGGCTCTTCAGCCGCCACGACAGAAGAACTAGGAGCTGGAAATGTGGGCACTGTCAACACCTCTGCACGGACTCACTGAGTTGCTTTCAACAAAAATCTCTGTCTGGGAAAGAACTCAAGGAGGAACAACTACAACTACAGCAGAAAGAGGAGCACGGTAATTTAGCAATACTATGGCTACCACAGGGTTTGCAAGTCCCCAGCCACAGCCTAGACCATGTTCCAGCCTCACAGGTAAATGCGAAGTGTCTACATGATATCAAAAGACAAAGAGCAAGTGAATCCAGGCTGGAAAGCAGTCTGATTTACCCATTCCTGATGGAGATGTTAGGGGCTGTTGGTTTTGTCCCGGGAAAGATGGCTGTGACAATTACAACTTACCTAAAATACCCTTTTGAGAGCTTCCTAAGCCATGTTGACCGGATCCAGCACACATCTCAGCAGCAATGTCTTCAAGCAAGGAGGTGAAGGAAATACAGCTTCTCATTGAGTTTCTTTTTTTTTTCACAAGCAAACTGCTCGTAAAAATATAATATGGGGAAGCACATTGAGACGTCTTAACCAGAGAAATGGGCTAGAGCAGCACAACCAGTGCTGAACACACATGCAGCCTGCCTGCAGCCTTCCCAAATTTTCATACGTGGGTTATTAATCTCAGCTTACACAGAAAGTGGAACTTAGAAACACCAGTAAAAGATAGTACCAAAATTTAATGCATACCCAAATGAAACAATAAAAGCTTCAGCACAGTATTTTTTATTACCCTCCAGGTCATAATAAATCATTAGTTGGTTGAATCAAAGCACAAAATCACAAGGACAAGATAAAGTTATGTCCTTTATGGGAGGCTTCTAAGCCTATAGGCTCAATATTCAACCACTACAGAATTCATACTTCTGTTAGACGATCCTGCTGATCTTGAAGATTATCAAATCTCTCTTCCTAAAAAAAAAAAAATAAAAAAAAATCCCAAATATCCAAACTCAGGCACTGCCACCTCAAAAAATCTCGCCTTTTCTGATCTGGGAACAACAGTCCAAATTCAGGTTGCTACATCTGCCTCTGCTTGCCACAGCAGTGGACAGACACACTGTGTGTCAGAGTGCTCACTCCAGCGTGATGATCAGGAAAGGTGGTCAATCCTTAACCAGATTACATCGACGCTCCTCGAGAAGGGCAGGCAACTGCACTGCAGTACGTGTCCTCACAGGCACCCATGAACCTTGATCAGGGTCCTCTGCCGCAGAGCTTCTGCAGTGTCCCTTTAAAAACTTTGAAGAATATCATACTTCACATAAGCAGTGACTCCTTTGACCATGACCCGCAATGAATCTCGTGGCAAATTTCTATCACACAAAAGGTATCACAGTTACACAGTGGATTATGGAAATGTTTTGGGTTGGCAGCTCAATTACCAAGCCCATAATGAGTACAGAGCACTCTTCTTTTACATATGCAATGTGCTCTTTCTTTCTTAAAAGCTGTCACAGAAATCTTGTCGATAAGTGTGGAGGCAGCATGAGGGCTACAACTAAATGCATGTTCCATTGTTCAGATGTCAGAGAGCCTGAGCTGTTCTTACAAGGATTACATTTAGACAACGTCAGTCTGAAAAGCGAGAAACTGGTGATACCAACCCACCATCACTGCTAAAAACCCTTGGACGAGTGTTTGACCTTGCAGATGCTACAAGACTCACAACACTTCATGAACAACTTTGCACCAGTGGGATTGTTTTCCTGAAGCAAAGCTATTGCCGGTTATTTTACAGCATGCCTCACCAAATGTCTTTGCAAAAATCATTAGCCACCAACAAAGCCGGAGGAGGCAAGTCCCTGGAACAATCCAGGCTCAGGCCAGCCATGACCCTTCTGTTTGACCCAAACTGCAATGCACGGCTCCAGGGACAGTAACAAAGGGCAAACCACTCACTTTGCTTTGGCTCTTTTCATAGCAAACTCTTTGCATCTCAGATGTCCTAACCTGAGAGGACTAGCAATGCAGCTGCTGACATAAAGGCTTCCACTGGATCAGACTGATGAACCAGAGTCTGTCTGCGGCAGAGGCAACTACTAAGGGCAGAAGATCTCAGGGAATGTGCAAAGATGTTTGTTCCAAAAAGTTCCATTATTTATTCTGCCCATGACAGAAGAGTTGTCTGCTCCAGCAGAGGGTCCTGGCATCCTGGATTGACATCCCCTGGTCAGGGTGCAGCCTCTCCTGCAGGCGTAGCCATCACTCCTGCCTTCCAATATCTCCAAGCAGCAGAAGGAGCAGCAGCTGCTTTCCAGTTCCTCATCCCAGTAGCATCCCTCTGTCCTTCCCTCCCCTTCCCAAAGAACCAGAGCCCTGGTGTATCTGAGCATACCAGGGTGTATCCGATACTCTCAGTATCTGTTCTACTCCAGAAATGCACAGGAGAGAGCCCATCACTGTGGTAGAACTGCTATATAGTCTAGTGTCACCAGACTGTTCTTCATAACTCAGTTTTCACTCCTTCAAGGCAATTTCTAATATAACAAGACAATTTAAGTTAAATAAAATAAATTGGGTAACTGGAGTAGCGAGGCACAGTGGCTTTACATGTCACATTAGATACTATTGTGCTCACTAAGATTTAGACTTTAACATGTTGTATTTGCTCCACATGACACAGCTGTCTTCACAGAAGCTGCATATTAGCACACATTCTGCTACATGTAAGCTCAAACAGACTTTTCTTATTTCAGAGGAACCTTCAAGAACAAGTCAGTAAAACTTAAAATCATGCGTCTACCAAATAAAGGAGGAGATAAAGCTTGTCTCAGCCTGTTGCAATAAAGACAGAGAAAAGTGAAAATATTAAGAACAGTAAGCATATTCAATCCCATGGGACAACTGCAAAGCACGTCCAAAGGTGTGATTCACAGCACACCCCCAGCTCTCAATGCCTTCTGAAATGTTTCCAACTTCAATGCACTTGGATGAGACCCATAAGCAGAGTGAAGCCAACTGAGCGAGCCAGGCAGGTAACATCTTCCCACTCAGTTTGCAAACTCCTCATCGGTTTTGTGTACGTGCTGACGATTCCCTCTAGCAAGTAACTGTCTCAGCATCTGGCCCGGAGCATGAGGAGCCACCGTTTTGTGGGGGAGGGTTGTTGCACTGTCGTCTCCTTGTTCGTTGCCCTCCTGAACATGGAGACCAGTTGGCCCAGCAACCCCAGTTTCCATTAATAGCAGCATCTGGAAAAAAAAAAAAACAACAAAGAAAGGACTGTCAGAATAAAGCAGCTCTTTTCATGGGAAGAGCTGTCGGATTCCATGCATCATATTTAAATACAAACAGCTCTGCCCCTGACCATACCACTAACAATATACTTAAGTCATTAACAATGAGTGATTGTTTTAAAGATGTTAATTCTCTGTTCAGCACTTCTGGTGTTTGTTCAAACTACACTTTATGCAGCAAGTACAAGGAAAAAAAAATATCAATTAGCTTTATATTTGCTTGTAGGACACTTCTCTCTCTGACTTGGTCCAAGCCTAGGTAAGAAAATCAGCAACTAAACTCACGTCAGCCACATTCTGAGGTGCTAGGGGAAATGTTAGCACATTCTTCTTCAATGAACAACAGCTTAAATATTCAGCTTTCTATCCATTGTTTTTCCCATTACAGTGTTTCTTCTGGACCCTGAGCATGTGAGTGATGTAAATTCAAAATCCTGAGAATCATGGAGTTGAACACGGTGGCAATATATAAAACGAGGAAAGGGGAGTGAGAAAGGAAGTTACATGTTGACAAGTGGATGGATGCGAGTCTTTGGGAGGGTCGGATGCAATTACACGTGTGGTAAGCGGAGAGGAACAAGGTGTAAGCGACTCCACAGTTTAAGGCTCCATGGACTTCCTTAGAAACACCTACAAAATTGACCCTCTGCTCGGTGAAATCTTGGCTCAAAATGTATTTCAGCCTGCCTTAGTTAGGACACAGTCATGCAGAGTCAGAACTGGATAACAGACTGTAAACAAAGCGCGATGATAAATGCAGCGCATCGAATTGTGGGACAGTGCCAGAGCTCTGGGTGCCTGAGATCTGGTATTATTTAGCATCTAAATTAATAAGCTGGAAGAAGTAAACAAAATTATTAAATTCACAGATCATCCTAAACTAGAAGGAGTTAAGAACATCAGTCAGGAGACAGAAGTGACATAAAGTGACTGAGAAGCATTAGTAAATGCTTCAAAACAACGTAATAAGATTTTAAGATTAAAATGCATGGTGGCATATCTGAAAGAAAACAGTTTGCAACATACTGGCTGTGTCAAAGGGAAAAACTTAGGAAACAGAGCTGTTGGAGGAGACCTGAGGCTTGTCATGGATTGTAAATCACGTAGGAGCTCGTATTTTGATATAATTGCAAGGCGCATTCATCCAGCTTTGAACTGTAAAAGTAAAGCTACCTCCTCGTGAGTGCAAAGAAATTTAGAAGAGGGCAGGCAAAGCTTATCTGTCACCTCTGCAGCACCCTAACCCTTCGTGCATTGGGCTGGGCAGAGCGGGGACAGCCAGAGCTGTGCATCCATCAGCTGCCATCCCCGGACACTCCTGAATACAGATGGGGCTGTCTCCCGGGACTTGGGGCGCCTCTTACCTTTCTTCTTGCTGATCTCACAGGCAGTGCCACTGTAGCCCAGGGGACATAAGCATTCACACTTGGTTCCTGAAAGTAGGCAGAGATGGTGAGATTAGAGACTTCAAGTCACATTTTCCTGCAGACACCTATTTCTTTTCAGTGCTTCATCTCCTGTAAGGAAGGGACGGCACGTGAAATGATATCGGAATTTTTCTCAGACGGTGAAAGTATGAAATAGCAATAAAGCAGGGCAGCTGTGACTCCCCTGCCACCCTTCTCGCCTCCCCGGCCATTTGTTCCTGCCACTGCACTGCGGCTCAACCTCAGCTACACCAGTGCAGTCATTCAGCAAACCCGGGTACCACCCAGTCCCCCTGCTCCTCTCCGAAAGAGTTATCTTTGGTGGAGCTGAGAGGGAGCAAACTGCAGCATCAGGGATGAGCACCTGGGACAGGAGCATCCCAGCTTGGCTTCGTGGCCGAGGAAATGTCCACATAACCCTGCTCTGGCTGCCTGGGGCTGCGGTTGGAAGATGAACAGTAATTTAAAACCTCTTGTTGAGAGGATCCTAAATGAAACACTAACCTGACTCAGCTCCTAAAAAGTTATTTAAACAAGGGTAATCACAAGACGAATCCTTTAAGTGCTACAATCAACTCGCTGGTACCTGAAGCGATCATTTCTGCATTAGATACATTTAAATGACAACAATTCTCAACAGGACTTTCGCAGATGCAGATTGGAATTAGGCACCTGACAAAATGGTCCTTTTCTTAGAAGCTCTCATCATGTCATATATCTCTGTTTGGGCAGTGCAGTTTTCATTCAATTTGATTATTCTTCCCCTTCATTTTTAAAATCACAGCCTGCTTACAAAGGAGGACAGCTTCTATTAGAAATGGGAGGAGGTGATGGTGATAACTGTGCTTGGCACTTAGATGATGCTTTTCATCTTCAAATCACTTTTACAAACACTAATTAATCCTGAGACAGTAGTCACTTCTCTAAGAGGATGGAAGAAATCTTAAAAGCAAAGGAGGAGACTGAAAGTTCTCAAGGTTTTTTTTTTTTAATGCATAATTTAGAAGAAACAAATTCCTCCACTGATACAGATGGTCACTCCCATTAAAAAGAAACATCCCTTGATTTAGTGCTGTCTTTACTTAGCAGTGGCATTGTCCAAATAGACCAACTTTTGAAAAAAAATTAATTACCTGAAGAAGAAATGTCAGGAGAAACTAAAGAGCAAATTAGTCACAAGGTTCCTCACTCCCCACAAATCCCCAGCTCATTCTCTTAAGAGGGTAGAGAAGAGGTGCAAAAAAATTCTACCTTGCAGAAAGGGGATGCCATTGCCGTGGCACGGAGCACAGCGACAAGAACTGGTCTCCAGCTGAAACTCCTCAAGAGCCCGTCGCAGATTTTCTTTTATTGTGATTGCATTAGCGAAGTCAGATGGAGTCACCAGCTGATACAGCGGCTCTGCCTAAAGGGAGGGAAGAAACTGCATTCATTTCCAAGTTCAGGATGGTGGGAGCATCGCAGGGCTCGGTGGTGGCACAGCTGGAGAGGGAAATGAAGGCCTTGTGGTACAGGCTCCAGGTTTCCCATCAGTATTTCCCTAAACCCACGAACAACAAGGCAGCAATGTCAGGAATTCTTACAGGGATTGTCCCCTTGGTTTACAACCCCAAAGCAGTTGCAAATGCATAACAAAATACAACAGCCATACCGTGAGTTGGCAAACGGGCACAGCGCCACAGAAGTTTCATTAAATCCTTTCTCATCCATTTTCCTGATATTGAAATCTTTAGAATTCAGATTTGCTCAACCTTAGGTTTTCTGAGGGCTCTCTTACTCTGATTTAAATAAGGTGCCCCAAAAACCCACCCACAAAAACCTCCTTCGTTCTGCCTACAGCCACACAGCACAGCCAGAGGGACACGTCACAGGCATTCAAATCTGCACTTTCACCTTAACCACTTTTGTATTTCAAGGCTGCTTTCTCTCTTTATGAAGCCAAGATAAGGGTTTCCACTGCCTTCAGAAGGGAGAGGACTGTGATCTTCATCTGCAGATGGGGCAGGTGGGAGAAGATAAGGGAGTGCACACCACTCTGAACGTGCAGTAGGGGCCAAGGAGACTTTTTTCCCGAGACCAAGGGAAAGTTAAAATGTGGTCTCAATACCCACTAATGCCAGTGGGACGACACTGGCATCTGTCATCAGAGGATCCATCCCAAATTCCCATCCTCGCCATGGAGATGCCTGCCATATGCCATACAGGCCACAGCAATACAGTAAGCATGAAAGATCATCCTTTGGTATCAGAGGCTCAAGCTTCAAGACACAGAAGAATGTTTCAATAAAAAAATACTCATTTCCTGCTGCTGTACATCCACTCTTCATCAATTATCTGTGATCCATACTTTGCTTTTTGAATTCAGATCATACAAATGAGGAAACACACTAAAAGTGACCTGCCAAGTCCCTTCAGCAGATGATTTATGAACTGATTTGCTTTAGTTTTCCCTAACTAAGCATTCTTGTGCTGACATTTAGTCACACTCTGCTGGTACTTTTGATCTTCAAGCCCCACAGGGATATCGGTATGGAAATGAGGGATTATAGATACCAAATCCAAATTACATCCATCTGGGGTTTTTCACTGGGCAACCTGGTGACTGATGCCAGGCAAGACAAAGAACGCTGCAATTTCTTGTGGGAGAATTTTCTGTACGCGGGATCTAGCACGGAGGGGTTGTATTTCTGTTGTCTCCTGCCCAAAGACCTCCCAGTGCTTTTTTGGAAGGTGAATCCACAGTGCACCAGGGGTTTGGGAAAGCCACCTCCGCTGCAGCAAGCACCAGGCGGGCACTGGCTGTATTTTAAAATTACTGATTTTTTGCTTTGCTTCATATTTTTTTTAGAATTAAACTCTTTTTTTAAAAATGAAAAGTCAGATTTTACAATGAGAATGGAACACCTTTTACAAATATTTTTGCCTTAAATTAAATTTTACAACGAAAACCAATTATGCAATGATAAAATCAACTTCCACCACCACCAGACCAAACTCCTGTTGAAAAGGATGTTCTTTTGCACCACTGTACTATTCACTCAGAGTGAACTTATTTTGACATTAAAAATGATGAGGCAGAACTGCTATACACTTCTGCCTGGTTTTTACTTCTACAGTGTCTTGCATTGCTAAAACTCTTCAGGATCAAAGAACCCTGATGCTTTAAATCCTCACTTGTATTTTTAAGGTTTAGCTAAGCTGCACAAACATCCAGGCATGTACGGTGAACTACTTGACCTTCTGAACCAGAGAGAGTTGTTGCTAAACAGTCACTGGTGCTCACAGGAGAAATTTCAAGGAAAAAAAAAGTCCTTATAAAATATATGCTGCCAGATAGATTTTTTGGTAAGTGATTCATCAGTAAAAAAAGAAGGTGGATCGTCTGGTTTGCTTGGCAGGCAGCAAGTGATCACATCCACACAGCCCAGTTAGAAGGGTTAAAGCTGTTTACATCATGTACTTCCAACCACACCCTTTTTAATGCACCACAACTTTGATTTTCCGAATATCCAGTCTTAGAGAAACTACGCTGCACAATCCGGGTCTATTATTTGCCCTAGAAATTTCCCTGCCTTTTTTTTTTTTTTTTTAAATCCTGTTTATTTAAACACCAAGTTCTCCAAGGCACCCAGCTAAGTGAGGCTGAATGAAGTGATGGATACAGTACCTTTAGCTTTATGATTTCAGGGTTGTACTGTACAGCATCTCCCCACTCCTGCATGAGGGCAGCTGTCGGCAGGTCCTTGTAAGCCAGCGTTGTGATGTGTTCGCTTGCTCCGCCACGAACGAGGACGATGAAATCTTCCACATACTTTTTTGTGGAGGTGCTGTCTGCAAAAATACATTCAGAAAGTGGCCAACTCTGCTCGGGTATGTCTTTGTGGGTGGCAGTTGAGTTATCAGCTAACAGCAAAACATCCCTGTACGTGACCCATTCCACTGAGAGGACAAAGGAAAAGGCCACAAGTGTTTCACACCCGCAGCCTGGTGGCCTATGCTTGTGCCTCTCCTGCTCCTTTGCAGCAATGCCCCCTTCTCCTGCACCCTAAATCTCTTCCTATTTCTCCCCCTAAATTTCTTCCCTATGGCTGTAAGCTTGCAGGTCCTTCCACAGCCCAATGTTCCTCACCACCAGTTCTCCTCCACGTATCTTCAGGTTCACCCTTCTCCCACTGCAACCAGCTTCCCATACGTCCCCTGAGGCTCCCACACCACCAGTACCTCCTGCTTTCCCCATTTGGGCTTTTTTGGGTGCAGAAAGCAGCATGCTGGGCTACTCTGCTGAGAGGTGGGTGGATTGGTAACACAACACCAGCCAGGTGGGTAATGGTTGATCTGTCCCTGCTTTTCCCCGGGACACTGAGCAGATATTTTTTCTCTACCCAGCAAAGAAAATCTTGCAAGAAAACAAGCTTTGAGACATCTACACATCTGTTAAGCTCGGCTGGGGTTAGCCAGCAGACTCAAAAGCAGCTGTGAGGGAATGGAGAAATACTTCAGGCAGCCAAGATCATAAAATCTTCTTTTCACTATGACAAAGGCTAGAAATTAAATGGCAGAAGTGTTTCATGCTTACCTCCAATCTCTTTTAAAAGGGATTTACAGCCAGCTGCAGTTATTCCAAGCTTCACATAGACACCAAAAATACTTGCACCAATGTTAAAGCCATGCTGTGCACATTTCTGGACATCGCTCAGAGAATAACCTGAAATACACACCAAAATTTTGCAGTGTTTTAATACAACTGTTTGATGTTTTATGTCCATATACACAGAAAATGGGAGTTGATAAATATTTTTTCTTGGGGAAAAAAGATGAGATTTTTTTCTATCTTTTTTTCAGATATTTAACAGATCTATAGGGAATGAAATTACATCTCTGCCTTTTACACAACTCTGAAACCAAGTGCAAATGCAAGGTAAATGCTGGAAGAGGAGGCTTTTAACTACCAATTCAGCTGTACTGGGTTATGCAGACCCGTGATGGGTGGGAGCCTGGCCTGTGACTTAAATGCCAAGCATCTTTGACGAAGGACTACCCACCACCCATCCCCCTTGTCAGGAGCCAGGCTTTTTAAGAGTAACAAATGATGCAGCTTTTGCTCCTTTGCTAACTCACATCTCCGATTCTTTGCTTTCAGAAGAGCCTCAGTTGTTTTATGGAAGTTTTTCTATGAAGCTCTGCTATACTTTTTTTTCCTGGCATAAAAGAATTTGCCCTTAAAATCTGCAAATCCTTCATGTTCTTCCCCAAAGTCCTTCTCCAAACTCCCGCTGTCCTGACACTCAAGAATATTTAAGCAGTTATCATGGTGAAACACCAGATATGACACTCAAGTATTTCTTCTCTTTCACTGCTTTTCTGTTGTAATCCCCCATGTTTCCCTCAATTTTTTTACTTCTTTAGTTAAACTCCTGTCTTGATGATACAAATGTTTACATGAGCTCCTAATGCAAGTATCACTGTATGGCTGTCCTGTTCTTATGCTCTCCTCATACATTTGATATTGGCCAGTTTCTAGATGAGAAAAGTGGATGCACTGGGTTTTGGGTTGATGCAGGATGGCCCCTATTGATGTTCATAGTCCATATGCACCTGAGGGCAGGAACCACTATTTTATGATATCCTTGTACAGCACAATCCAGACCTCTCTCCTCCTATTTTTTCCCACAGGAAGCATCACATCTTAAACCACAGATCTGGCATATCGGATTATATGTGAGCACAGTGCGAGTATCAACCATGTAACACAGCGTGTGATACTAGATCTTGCAAAAGAAGACTTGATTTCCAGCACAGACAGTACAAACATAATGATGGATTTGAAGGGGAAAGCCTGAATTCTCAGACTGGACCTAAAAAACCCCAGTGAGAACTTACAGCCCAGCTCAGCACTGGGGATGGTGTGAAGATGTTGATACTACTGCAGGATCCTGATCTAGGTCAGCAGATGCTGACCGGCAGCATTTTGATGCAAACAATAATACACAATAGTTCAAACCGACGTGGCTTGTGATGGGCCCACACCAACAGCTGAGAAACTGGGCAGTGCTAATGTTTTGAATATCTGATATCTGAATCTAAATTCTGTCCCTCGGGGCTGTATCTGACTACAGGATAAGCAACTTCCTAGACAGCAGAAGAGCAAACAGACTGAGCATCACACACAGCAGAGTCCACTAAATGCTTTCGCAAATAGACAGCAGAGGCAGTTACTCACTCCCATGCCAATGAATAAATAAGAGAGTGCAGCTATTGATTAATGTCACACGGCTTGCTCTATCCTACACAACAATCATCATTTCTCACAAAAAAGGAAGCCAGAGCCAAAGAGCAAGAGCAATGTCAGGCACAAGAGTCACCCAGCAAATTATTTACTGTTTCCTACATGCTGGAAAAGCTCTCGAGGCTAAAGGTGTTTCAAAACTGTCATTTGAAAGGCATTGGAAAAAGAACTTAGGTGAAGGTTTTCAAAGCTAACAAAAGCGTTAAGCTACACGATTCTCATTCATCTCAACATCTTGTCAGCCTCCAAAATGTGTCATCTAAAATACTTGCTACAGGGCCCTTTTCTGTGAACTGGCAGCACCCACAGCTTGAGAGCTAAATGAAGCCCGTGATGCTGAGCATGCTTTGAAAACCAGCCTCTTTCTTCACTGCCATAAAGCACTTCTACTCCTCTATTTTCTGCAAACTTCCTTTGAGACCTTCTTCCACCATCTCTCTTTTCTGACCTCAGACCTGAACCATCACTGAATGCCTGCAGAGGGGTTTTCCCACCAAAACGCTGGCCCCAAAGCTTTTTCACGACCATCAGATGCACGTACCTGCCTTTTGGAGCTCATCGCTGTTCATGACTAAAGTATATTCATAGATGCCACCGACAGTAGCCTCTGTGATGTAATGAGTCCCATAGTCTCTGTAGAGCTCTCGGTACTCTCCGTAGCTGTACTCTGATGGGAGCTGGTGGAGCCTCTGCAGGAACTCATAATGCAGCATCAGGGCTCGGGGCTTCAGCTTATAAATGGCAACAGCCAGCTCAGAACGGGCATGAATGAATTTGCTGGACTACACGAAATGGAGAAACACAAGAGAATCCAGAAGCAGTGAGGGATGTCATTCTTGTGACAACGTGTAGCTATTTGCTATGAAACAATCAGCACTGGTCAGGATTTATCAATTTAACGGCTTGCAACTGGAAATCTCTTAATTTAGCAAAACAAAAACTCTGAGTAGTAAAGTTTCTGAAAATCAGGATTCTGACTGGTATTAGAGAGGGAGGAATGAAAAGGGAGGTTAGGTGATGGCTCAGCTGTGGCCGGGACACAGGGAAAGGCAGGCTCCAGGCTCTGCTCTGCCAGACCCAGGATGGCAGGACACAAGCAACATCCCACGAGACTGCTCTGCCCCTAATGATGTTGACAAGTCTTTGTCTCTCACAAGCTCTCTCCTGAAAAATTCTGACATCCGAAATCATGATGATTTACATGTGTAATTTTCTGGCTGATCCAAGTTAATATTTATATTCTACAGAACATGTCATTAATAAAACTCAAAGAAAAGAAGGAAACACAAACATGCATTTATGTGTCTCTGTGTAGGTATGTGTACATGGATAAATACTGTATCTCTCCTCTCTGGCATAAAAGTCAGCAACAGAAGAGATCTGTCATCTTCAAAGAATTTAGTGGCCAGTTATTTGGGCCAGCAGGACAAGCACATCGGGGCGGTGGGGAGGGCGTTCAATATAGAACTCTGTTGCTTAAATAATAAAACCAAGACTTGGTATTGGGTTCCTTTATGGATATCTACTGCATATGCTTCCCATCTACCTCTGATCTTGTAATAGGAAAAGCCCCTTTGCAGGAAGCAAATGCAAGTTTAATGGCAACAAGGAATAATCTGCCATTCCTGAATGCACTCTACACTGAGGGCAGAGACACAGATCAGTGATACTATTAACCCACTGACAAGAGCTAGGTTTGTTTACAGCAATAACAGATGACAAAAAGAAATCAAATGATGGTGCACACTACCTCAGACTGAATCTCATAAAGCAGTCCTAGGAGTTCTAGATTAAAGCATCTCCAGCCAGCTCAAAGTGTGCATCAGATCACAGCTGCGACCAAATCTCCACAGGTGAGACTGGAAGTGATTGTGCCATCCTTATTTTCTGCTGTGTGTGTCCCGAGCCAGTGAATGATGTAGTTGGCAGATAGATCACATCAGCCGAAGTAAAATGGCATGTGTTACTCTATAATTAAACTCATGGAAGGTCTGCTAGCAGTTTTCGTTCTACGTTACTGTCAAGGCTGCCCTAGAGTTGAACAGTTTGGCTTCACCGTTTGCACTATCATTTACCGAAGTGACAGCTCCTGCCTTGTCGAACCCACCTAGAAGAGGGATGACCCTTCGTGCGTGAGATGATGTCCTGCAGGGATCGCACAGACAATAGCCATCCGCACCACAGACCGGTTTCTGGACTGTGTGTACACCTGCAGAAATTCCTGGAACTGCCAAAAATCCTATTTGCCCTTCTTTCACCCCAGATTCTTCTGTTAGTCGCTGTAACTCACCAGCAGGACACAGGGAACTCTGGGCTCCTGGGTTTGTTAGCTAAACCCCAATTCAGCCTGTGCAGATGGCTTGGAGGAGCTGCTGTGCTGGTTGCACCCACGCACCTCCCACCTGCCAGACTGCTTTGGCATCAAAGTTTTGGTAAGAACTTTTTGAGGGCTGGCAGGGCAAGGTGCACAGCATTCCACGGCTGGGGTGCCACACAGAGACCCCGTTAGGAGTGTCACGTGTACATCTCCCACTAGCCAGGTCACTGTATGGAGGGTAGGCCATTTGAACCGGCTTCTTATTTACGTTTTTTTTTTAATATTACTTCACTACAAACATCCAAATGTGGATGCCCAGCAGGTCACTGGACAGAGAGCACTCAACTGTGGCCGAGTTCAGAGGTTAGGCAGTCCGGTTCCTGGCCTACAGAACGGAATGAATGGAAAAGCTCCTGGGTGCTGTAAACACAAACGAAGGCATCGTGGCCTTGGTAAACACTTGATCAATGCAAACTGCAAAACCCAATCAAGAGGATAGATCTCATTTATCCTAGCCATGGCTGCTGACCTGATGAGGAGGATCAAACCAATACACACACACACACAGATACGGTGTTAGCAGAAAATTAAGTGGAGCAGTGCTTACCGTTGACGAAAACCTTTTCATCCTTTGAAAGAACTTCTTGAACCTGTTGTCGTTTGAATTGTAACCAAGTTCAAACAGTCCTGGTATTTTTATACCAAAGCTGAAGCTAGACTGTGAAGCTTTTGCCTTCAGGACACTGCTTTCATAATTTGAGTAGGAGTCATATTCAGTCATTGTAAATTCATATTTGCCTTTGGTCTAAACAGAAAGTAAAAACAACACGTTTAATTTCCTGCACAGCAGCTGTATACCTGAAGCATGGGAAAGGAATACAGACACAAATATACTTGTGAATTAATGCTTGCACTTTGAAGTTGAAAAGCCTTGTATAATTGCAAAGCACTATTATTATTAACACTGGTACTTCAAGAATACTTGATTTAAAGCAGCAGAAAAGCTGCTATCTCCTCCATACTGCAAGGACCTCAGGCTTCTACTTAATATGTCAATCTAACGCAAACAAGGTGAAATCCTTAGCGCAGGCATCAATTAAAGTATGAATTCTAACAGGAAAAGGCTTCCTGGTGGGCAACACTCAAAAATATCAGGCCATGTCATCAAGAGCACTAAGGTCAAATACATATTTGAAATACAGCTTTGATACGCCACAGAAATAAGCTTTCACACAAAGCACATGGCGTGCTGCTAGGCTGTTGCACGAGGACAGCTCTCCCAGCCCAGCTCTCAAGGCATTCTATAATTTTGTCTAAAATTAACCTCCCTGTGCCCACTGTGTGGCTTTCGGGCCCTCCTGGACAGATGGCAACGGGGAGATTAGGCTCAGTTTTTGCAATGACAAGGCCCAAAGGAACACTGTCGTCTATTCCAGTGCACACGGGTATCGTAAGGGGAAGTGTCCAACTTCACAGAGTGCATGGGGTATGATGATGTTCTCGAAATAAATTCCGTCTCATCCCATTCGGCCTCACGAATTTTGTGATTTTTTAAAATAAAATGATTTGGTAATGAAGCTTTACCAGCGTTGTGCACTAAATTTACTGGAATATATGTACGCATGTTTACCTGCAGACAAATCTGACACATACCTCTGGTGTATAGCTTTCTACATTATATGGCTTTCTGAATCTCGTGTCCACGATGTAATGGGGAGAACATCCCCCACCATAGTACCTGTGGTCAAGCACTAATCCTTCCAAGTTGTTTGTGAAGATATTTAACCTGTACACGAAGCATAACAGCAAAATGTTATTGTCGATTTAGAGGTAAAACATCAAATGCCTTGGCTGAGAAAGGCAAGACTGTTTTGTTTGGCTGAGGGCTCTTTGTTTCATACTTCTTTATTTTGAAATCCCAGAAGAAAGTTTTGCCTCTTTCACTGTCCAACCAAGCCAGTTGCTCCAGTGAAACCTAACTGACTACAAGAAAGCAAAAATCAAGAGTCGAATTTTGACATTTTGATGAATATGAAGGGCAAATTTCACCACCTAGCTATGAATGACACCACAGCATTACTGCCACCAGCACTGGGAACTTTTATAGCCTTTACTGGAACAATCTGGGAAGAGCAGAACAAACTGCACCAGCCAAACCCTCACCCCATCGGGTTTCCCACCCTGACCATCCCCAATGCCTGCAGTAGTGCAGCAGCAACCAGCAAGATCTTCAAAGACGGGCTTGCCAACCCGTGTCATCAGTCCAGATTAATTTTTAATTCACATTTCTTCGTTCTGGTTTATCAGTCATAATCTTTGCCAGGTTAATCAAGGACCAACCAGAGGTCAGTAGATGAGAGTAAAAACTGTCAGAGAACAAGACGTTGTTCAACTAATCTGTGAAATGACTGGGAAGTTTTCTTTTGATTTTAGTGGATGGTGGACAGTAATCTTAACCTGTCTGCTCTGAGAATGGATGTAGCACTGCAACCCTTCTAGATGAGGTGATTAAACCCCATCATTTCCTTCCCTGTTGTTGCTGGTGGGCTCTGCTGCAGTAAAATCCCTTCTGGTACTCACTGTCAGGACACCCTCACATCACCCTCGTGGCACACAGCTGAGGACACGGCACTCACCTCCACAAACTCATACAGTTACAAGAGTCATTAGATGAAACTTCACAAAAAAAAAAAAAAAAAAGATAAATTGCTAATAGTCCACTTTGTGTCCCTATTAGCGTTTCAGGTCTCTGTCAGATCTGCCTCTCTTTATTTTGGGAAGAGGAACTTGCATGATAATGACTCTGAAGCTGTAAAAAATTAACTCTAATTTTAGAACAATCTGAAAAGAAGGGAAGTCCACTAAAAGTAAATTACTGAGCAACTGTAGCTTCAAAGAGATGAGAAGCATGTTCCTATAATTGTCCAACATTATTTTTAATTTCAATTAAACTCAGAAGTACAAAGCATTAGCAATGACATGTGCAGCAGCCATATCTCCAGAGGATAAGGAGGAAATTATAATTTTTCTTTGCAATATGATTTTTTTTTTTTTTAATGTAAAAAGCATTTTTTTTCCTTCAGAATGAGAAAAAACTCTTTTCACATAATCCGATCTTACAGAAAGTTGCCACAGTCTTAGCCTGTAAAAGCTGGATCAATTCAGACTTGGATTTTAATCCCCCCAAAGTTGGAGTTTGCTATCATGTGTGTTAATCCTACCCCACTCATGCAAAGGACACAAATTCCACCATCTCTCACTGTCATGGAAGAAATCCAAGAATATTTGACCCCATCCACCCCAAATCAATACACTGCACAAAAATACAAATTCATAGTCAGGTTCAGATTTTAGGCAACCCAAGCTACTGATTTAAGTCACTCTATTAAGAATGATACAACATTATCCTCAGATTTTAAGAAACCCTCTTTTTATTTCAAAAGCACAGTTTGAAGTAGTCTCCCAGTTCCTAAAGGCTAGGACACATTCCTGCTCCCCACAAACTGAATTAGATCAAAAATCTACTTATATCTATGCAAAATAACTGGATCATCAAAACTCTCCCTCTGATTAATTTAAGTAGCTGTAGACATTGGAGAAATGTTTGGTGCTGACACTTCCCTCTTTACTCACCAAGTTTTGGCAAATCAAAGAGCACACACAGACTCTTGCAGGACATATTCCAAGCCGAGCTGATGATCTTCACAGGGTGCACAAGGGACTTTTACTCACCTCATCTCTCCCCAAAGACTCAGGGTGCCAATAAGGATTTTCCCATCGGGCTTTGCATCAGGACCCCAGAGGCTGCCAGATCCCAACTAACTGCTGGATACAGCAGTTGCTACAGCTTTTCTCCATTCAGTGTTTATGTCTGCAGCCACATAAAATCATTCTTAAGTAAGAAAACATCTCATGAAGGTCACCAACTTACCCTTTTGCCAGATTCTCTATTCCCCAGTATTGCTCCATCTTCTGGTCACATTTTTTAAACACTTTTTTGCAGTTTTTTTCATCTGACTGGTCCCCACAGTCATCATCCCCATTACAAAGCAGTCTCCGTGTAATGCATCTCCCTAGGATGCAATTTGTAAATTACTCATAAAATAATATGTTATCACACTCCCTGATTCAGAGTCTAAAAGCAAAAGACTCCTCTAATGTATGGTTCAAATCGAGCTGGAAAATATTTCTTCTCTATCTGCACAGATCACCAAACTCCATCTGTTCAGTTTTGCTCAAAGCTTTCATAATCTTAAAATTCCTCATTCAACCTAGAAAACCCCACCCTAATTACAAGTATAAGACAGAATATTTTGTTGTTCTTGCTAAAATTTTTTAGTTTTAAGAAAAACATGCTGGAGCCTGTTCCACAGACCTTGTATACGGTATTATTTTTAAGCCCCTTTCCGTGTCCATAATTACCGAGGAGTTTTTCAGTCTCACCAAAACACCAGCCCGAGGGACAGAGATCAGAGTCGCTTTTCTTTGCCCTATCTCCTGTGCTGAGGTCCCCTCTGCCCTGGCATCCTGCTCCCTGCACACTTTCCTCTCCACTGCCAGGGTGCAGATGCAAAGCAGATGCTGATCAAATTTTGGATACAGCTAAGTGCTGCCTTGCTTCCCCACAGTGTCCTGACTAACTAGTCATTGATAGGGAAGGATGGAAATGCCATGGGGACCACTATGGTCTGCTCTTGGGCTGTGCCAAGGATGCCCAGGGCATGTTCTCCTGTTGTTGTCAGATCTACTCGTGCTACAGATTTTACTGATAGAACTGGGTTTGAATTTCCCGTGTGGAGATTTTGAAGACATGCTTTGGACTGACAGATGTTGGCTAACAGACTCACTAGAAATCACGGATGCAAACACAAGCATGGATGGACCCGGGTCAACTCCTGACATCTCTTCGGCCCAGCAAACTCTCGTAGAAGCAGAAATCTCAGCATAGTGGTGTCAGAGATGCCACCTGAGCACCACTTCTCATTCCCTAAGTCCTTACCTGTAACTGCACACACAAAACCTTCACATCTAACTTTATTTCTGCAAGGATTATTTGTAACACAGTCTTCAGTTTCTTTGTCAGAGTAATCACAGGGATCTCCATGGAACTGAGAAGGTTGTTCCAGGCGGGCAAATCTGTACTGTGATGAAATAAAAAATATTGACTCAACTGTACGGAAATTATGAATTTTATGATTCCCTAGTTAAAAAACAAACTTTGTGTTGGGGTGATCTGATCTAAGAGTACTGTCATTTAAAAAAAGTGTCAGCAAAGAAGTGTGATGCTGGTAACGTGCCTCATTTCAAAGGTTTCCGATCGGTGACAGTTTTTAATTTTGCTAAGGGAGGATTGTGGATTGGAAGGCATGGAGGAAAGTTTGCTTTTCTTTGACAGTTCGTTTAAATGAGCCTGACAGGGTAGTGCAGGCATTTGCAAGAGTAAGGAAGGATTCAGTTACATCTCCTCTCTTTCAATTAGCGCTGGTAACAACATCCCTTGTTATTTTCTGTCAGTGTATTTACTTGGCCCTCTGTATCATTAGGGATTTTTTTCCGCCCACAACACTGCTGTGAAGCACTCAATTACTCCGTCCAATATGTTAGCCCTCCTTTTTTTCCCGGCTTTTAAGATTAACTCTTTGATACGAAGCTTCACTGTTCCCAACTCCCAACACTGGTTATTCCTGCTAAAGCCTGGGAATGGTTTCTCCAACTCATTAGCAGAGGTCCCTCTAGCAGCAGGGATTTTGCTCTTCACACTATTGGCATCATTACTTTCATTTCATGGGGCTTCTCAGGTAGAAAATGCTTGTTGGCAGACAAGAAAAAGCATCTTAATCCTGAGAGGGACTGAGTGTCTCCAGATCCCACAGGGGACCATTAGTGAGGATGGTGCCTTGTACCAACACTGGAAGAAGAGGACTGTTGGAGAGAGAGTCCCTGCAAAGCCTGGGCTTCCTGCTTGTGTTTTCACCAAGCCTGGGCCTCCACTTTCTCCACCTGGAAAGCACTGGAGTTACTAGGGGTAGTGAGCTGAAGAGCTAAAACGCTGCTTGGCAGCAAAAGCCCACAGCCTCACCTGTAGAGCACTTTCCTTGGCAGCTCTCTGCCATTTGCCCAACCCCATGGTAAAAAAGGCAAGGCTTGAAGGAGGTCCTGCCTCACAGGCTTTGTGCTAGACCACAAACGCTCACCCTTTTCTTTTGGCAGGGATCGCACTTGCTCCACGAGGACCAGGCGGAGAGCGTGCAGTCCCGGGGCTGCGGCAGGTTGGTCACGGACCGGGCATGCCTGCTGTTGGCCACGCTCTCGTTGGTGCTGCTGAGGTTAAGGGACTCCTTTTCACCACTGCATTCAACAACATGAGAGCTTCAAGGGTGTGAAACTGTGAGGACAGAACAATTTGGCCTATACCTGTGCAAAGCTACGTGCCAAAGAGAACTAACACTTGCTAGACTTCATCCGATCTTCCATACCACCTCTAGATTTCAGTACTCATTTCATACCAGAATTGATTCTGTATGAAACCTGACCTACTCGTCAGTGCCCAAGGCCAGACCCAGCCCCCCACAGCACCACCATGAGAGTAAGCCTGCAGAGCATTCAGGAGGGCTGACTGCAGGACACACATCTGATCTAGCCAGCGTGGGAAACTCAACCCACGTCCCACCAACCTGGGCTTCATCTCAAGCTCTGCAGGCTTGACCAAATAACCTGGCCAAGTGGCCAGCAGTAAAATCTGCACCATCAGTTGCTGCCCTTGTCTGATTGCTCCTTGTTGCTTGCTGTACGGGCAGCACTTTGGTACCTCGCTGCCATACACAGTGACCAGCTCCAAGGTTGGACACCTCCATGACAGACACCAGTTGCAATGCTAAGGGCTGGCATGCACTCAGCAGTTTTGAAAACCAGGCATAAGTGCTTCCCTTTTGCTGAGCAACCTATTTTTTCTCAAGCTGGCCAAAGCCATTAGTCTTAGACTCTATTCTCTGTTCACAATAGAGTCATTAACCCATTAAGCCCATTCATCCCGGTAATAAACCTGAACCTCAAGTGAGTCTTTACTCTACACCCCAGCCCCTCTCTCACCCCCTCACGTGACATCTGTCTCCAAGGTTTCCACGATGCCACAGCTAAAATGCTGCCTACTCTTTTGGCAGATTCAGTATTTCTGATTAAATCCTCATCCCATACAAATGCTTCGTTGTAGCACCTAATCTAAGTGGGAAACTTTAGTAAAACGTTTACAATTAGTTTCTTTTCATACCCACTTCGACAAGTAAACTACCACAATAATGTTCCCAATTCTTCCACCAAGACAAGGAATAGCACCAGCTGAAGCTTTACTTATGATTTAGTGCTTGGCAATGGAATCCCGTTACTGCATATTAAAAATCACATGGAATAAAGGAATTACAAAAACTCATCAGCTCACTGAGGCATGAAATCAGAGCTCAAAGTTGAGAGAACAGTGGAGAAATATAGTTAGATTGGGAAGATTACAGTCACGTTGACCGCAGTCTCCTGAAAGAGCAAAAATCTATTAAACTGGCAGAGAAAGAAACAACTATCAGGCAGATTTTTGCCATTTAGGTATGGGAAGAAAACAACCCCCTGTCTCTCCAGCAGTTGGGTAGCTAGCACAGGAGGTGGCTCCACGCTGCAAACAGAATTCCACATTACAACACGACCGTGGCAATTTGCCATCTCAGATTTATCAAACAGGATTACCTTTCTAAAGGCAGACACATTGCACTACATTAACTTCAAAACAGTGTTTTTTACTATTCATTAGAAATAGAGAAATCGTTCAAGACAGCTATTATGTGCCATACAACGTGAAAGCCTAGAGTCTGCACTGATTTTCACTCTTTATCGTATCACCCCATGGACATGGTTTCAGAACCATTCACTTACCCAAAGCAACGACCATTTAGGATGCCGAATACAGCATAAAGCAGCAACAGTTTGACGGGGCACGGAGCAAATGCCGTGTGTGCTGTGCTCATCCCTCCAAGGTACCATCGGCGATTCGAAACCACCACTGCTCCCATTCCGTCTGCTGCCAGGGCTTGCAAATGGTTCAAGTAGAAAAAGATAAATTACCGGGTCGTTCTTCCACACAGTAAACAGCAGATGACCCACCACCTGGCAGATTCACAAGGTAAACATTGCAATTGTTAGTACACGGCTTTCTGGAGGCAAGTGGGAAGGAAGCAAAGATCTGTCTAGAAGCAATTTACACTTTCATTTGTAATGCTCCTTTCAAGGGATGGGGAAAATGAATATTTCAACAACTGAAACATACGCGAGTCTTGGCGAGAAGCTGTAAGTAAAGTCGGCTTTCTAGGAATAGAGTGCAAAATCATTTATTTATTTCTGCTTTTCATGTCTATCTTCCTGAGGAAGGCCAGGCACAGGGCATCAGCAGTCATCCTCATGGCTCAGGGAGAGCCTTCATCCCCAAGAGTGCCCTTGTTGTCCGGGGCTTGGGCTCAGGCTCGTGCTGCAGGGCAAGGCAAGAGCCCCAGACCTGGCTGGGCCCTTCCATCGAGATTCTCTACTCCACGTACCCAAAGTCTTGAGCCCATGGAAGCAAGACCTGTCAGGCTATCAAATGAAATGCCTTGGTGTTTTCTAGCTACTATGTTGAGCCATTCTCTCTCTTAAATGGTCCTAACCAGGGCAGAGAACTTACCAAGGGCTGATTCCCATCAGTTCCACTGGGCTTTCAAAGGCAGACCAGGATCTTCAAAACCTTGCAGAATCTTTTTTCGGTTGCCTGTTGAGGCCTGCTGTAAGTGACTTCAGGTATGGCTTTTCTATTCCTGAGACACAACAGTCTTTCCCCTTGTTCTCCTAATTAGTTTTAACCTACAATGAGAGTCTTAGAGGAGAAAAGTTCTCTGAATCTGCGTTTCCCTGTACAAAATGATGAATATCATTGTGTTTTCCCAGCCTTCCTCTTGCTGGACACGGAAAGATTCTTTGAAGAGCTGCAGTTTCACTCTGTGTGCAACTCTGGCTTTTAACAGCATGGTCTCTCTGGGTTAAGTCTCCAAGTGCTTCAAAGACACAAAGAATAAATACATTTTAATTTGCTCATTATGGGAATAATGGATGCTGTATATAAAATTAATCATATTCACTAACACAAAACAAACCTGACAACCTCAGCATCATTACCTGGCCAAGTGCTACACCTCTTTATGTGTCATAGTTACCTTACAAATTACATTTCTGACTGTGGAGCCACATCTCTGCAAAATAAGCAACTGGCTGCTCCATCTTTCTAGTCTGGCAGCTTCATAACAATTTAACACAGAGAAGCACATTCACTTGTAAGAATCTGCTCCGAATAAAAAGATTGTATTTCAGGCAGCCAGTTTTTTAACCCGGAGTTACTGAACACACAGTCAGTGATTAACTGCCCTCTAGATACAGAGGACAAACTGTTAGGAAAGATGGCTTAGGCTATGCAAAGCTTTTTTGTTTGTCTTTTTTGCCTTTTTTTTTTTGTTTCAAACGACTTTAGCCCAGGATGAACCCAAGATGTGCCTATGTGATACAGCTTGCTCAACATTTGACACAATTGATTTAGCTGTTAATCATTTATCCATGACAAAAAAAAACCCACAAACCACTTACTGGAAAAACCTCTCCATACACGGGACCTTTGCTGGCTGGAAAATGCAGTACACATCCAAAGTTCAATAGCAGCAAAAGAGAAGCTAAGATTATAAGCACAGGGCATCCTCAAGATTTAACTGCAAACCATGACAGTGATCCTGGCGTGTGAAGATCTCAAGGAAACCTGCTCCTGTTTGCTGCTTCTCTCCGTTTTCCTGCCTCTCACCACACACATCTTAGTGGTGAACATGCCTGGTCTTGAATTGGCAGAAAGAAGTTAGATTAAAACAGGAGGAGGGACCCAAATTCCCACATGTTGACATACTTTTCAGAGAGAATTGAGAAGTAAAATAGAGTTTTCCACATAATTTATAATCTGGTTTAATTAGAGGTGGGCCTAACACATAAAATTTACGACAAGAACTGCAGTTCATTTTCTGTTTCCTTGCAGTCTGAGGCCGAGTGGCTCCATGGATCAATGAGAATGTTGCCTTGTTTGTGTCCTCTTTCTCCAGTCTTGTTACTTCTTTGTCGCTGACTGTAATAGCCACAGCTGGCTGCTGAGCTGTTTTTGAGTCCCAAAGCACTTAGCACTAACAACACTGTAAGTCACTGAACGTGGGTTTCATCACAGTTGAAAATAAAGCCTCACTAAGTGTCCACCACGAACACCCAAGCTTTCAAGCACAACGCATCCTTTGCAGAGTTCATAACACCAGCGTAAGTTTGTGACCCCTTGCTCCCCGTAAATAAAACCTATACAGTCTCACCATATTTTTTTTTTTTAAATGGCAGTTTCCTGTCCAAAGAAAAAAAACTATGAAACACATCAGAGATGAAAGGCCCTCCCTGGGAAGGTTAGAGTGGAGCCAGCAAGCAGCTGTTTATGGTACCGTTAGTGCACTTTGCAAAAAGAGATTATTTTTCTTCTTATGTTGAGACGATCTTTTCATTCCTTGCTTCATAACTTGTAATGCATTTCTTTCGGCAGAACACAACTGGCTCATTCAAAGGTAAGAGGAGGCTCACCCACCGATTTTAATGGTGAAGAACATAAGGTGGCAATTATATGGTAAAATTTACAAGTGAGAGGCCCTAAGGAATCTTTTCAGACGTTTACTACAACGGACTGTTGCATCGCCACTTTTGTTATTAATACAATTATTTTCTGCTGGTGAGGCTAGTCTCTGAAAGGCCCTGGACATAAAAAACTCACCTTGTTTAGCATAATCCTCTCTTCCTGGATTTTGATTCAATAAAAATAATGCCTTATAGTGATTTAGTCCAAATTTGGCACAGGTTGACCTATTCTGAAAGCTCCGATTCTAAGGTCCTGTGCAGATGGTGAAACGGGGGCTGCAGTAATGAGTAGACAAAGAAAGAGAAAACCATCATGCCCCATCCCTTGTCTCTATCTCCTCTCCATGAGACCTCAAGATAATATACACACAAACTCATTTTCAAACTAGAAACAGCATTTTCTAAAGAAAAACACGAGGCGCTCATAATCTGAATATGTCAAATAGAACAAAATTTACAAAAAATGCAACATCTGAAGCATTGTAACTTCTGCTTATTTCTAATACAACTGACTTCTGACACTGAGAGCTCTTCTTAGACCTCTAATAACTATCTGTTAAAAAAGACAAAGATACCACAAAAGGTCTTTGCACAGCTAGTACCTGGCAATAATTCTTCATAATCCTTTATTTTCACAAATGTCTGAGGCTGAATAGACATTGATTTGCTGCCCGTTAACCTGGTTTTCTTTTAATCTATTGTGATTTCCTTTCTTTGCTGGTGAGAAGTATTTATAGAAGTGGTGCTGCGGGAGCTATGAAATGGGGTTGAAAAGCCAGCAAATAATATCAGATCTTAAAAGACCTTTTTTTTAAAAAAATACATTCTGTGTCTGAAAGCCCCTTGAATGGGTAACATTTGAGGCTATTCTTCTTATTGAGATTTTTCAGGTGCTGATAAAACATTTTAGGGGTGATAGATGAGGCACAGGGCAAACACATCCATTGAGATAAGACTATTTAAAGCCCTAAAAACTAATAGCCAGAGAGTCGTTTCAGTAATAGACCTGATATTTCCTGCCTCCAGTAGGATAATTTTAGAAAGAGACAGGCAGGGTTACAGGTAATCAGGAAATCGTATCAGGATATCTCCCCATATTCCTCACTGTCACGCTGAAATGTATAATTCAGTTTCCCCCCACTTTCAGACAGCAAGTAACGGAAGAAAAGAAATTCCTTTTTTCCTTCCCCATGCCAGCTCTCTGCTTAAAAAAAAAAAAAAAAAAAAAAAAAAAAAGGTTTTTAATGGGGCTGATCCTAAAAATCAAATCAGTACGGGAAGGCCAACTTGAGGAAGACCTCATCACAAGAGAGATGACAGAAGTACTCTTGCAAACCATGAGTAGTAACAACAGACCACAGCCAGGGACAGGGTGTGAGTCCCACTGATGTCACCCACAGGAGCAGATCCAGAAGCCAGGCGCAGTGCGGGCAGCAGTGCGGGCAGCAATGGTGTTAGTATACATGCTTCTGAGGATGATCCAGGCTCACACGTTCACTCAAACCCTCTTGTTTTCTAGTTGCCAAATGTACTTTCGCTTTGTTCATTCACCACTGTGTGCCTTCCATGTAGGCTTAGAGACACAATTGTAGACAATGGATTCAAACCTCTGTAGAAAATAGTCAACAAATAACACCTTTCATTTCTTTGAAATTACAGTTTTCTGACTGAGAACAGTATTTGCCAGAAAACTAATAAATATGAACCAGAAAGGATAGGAGATATTTAGAAAGCAAAGAAAGTAAAACGGAAACAGTGCGTGGAAATACATACCACAAACTAGAAAAAGGAAGAAAGAAGTTAGCTTATCTGTGGCAGCAACTGTCACTGTGTAATGACTGAAGCACATAAACATTGCCTTTAATCCAACGCAAGCAAGTTAAAATGGCATATTCCCAGTCTGTACAATCAACTGCTTTCCCAGAAGTCACTGACATGGAAAAGAGAGATCTGTCGGAGTCCTCACTTCTGTAAAAGTTGATTCTGCAAACTGCTAAATAAATTCTCATTACTGCAGGAGATCATGGTCTTAATTAGCATTAGTGAAGTCAGGACCATTTCTTGAACTAGTTACATTTGAGTTGGATACTCTTATATACAATCTAGAGACTCCTACTGCATTAAGTTACAGTAATATTACTTGATATATTACATTGACACAGCACAGAAAGAATCAGATTTTTTTCCCCTTCTGAACAACGCCAATGTGCATCCGGGTCCTTCCTACTTAGGAGATTCCTCACCATCACCAAACTAGATCTCTAACCTGCTCATTCTGAATTTTCAAATTGAGTCTGCATAGCAACTGTGCAGCATGAGCCAATTCTTCTGATTTCTCGACATAAACTAACTTCACTGTGCGAGTAGCAGATGAGTATCAACAAGGCTAGATTTGGCCTATGTTATAAAAATGCATTTTAGTTTAAAACCATGCTTAGCTGTATCTTACTTCACTTTAAGTTGACATTTCATAGCTTGTTGAAAACAAAAGAGATCATGTTCCTCCTTTCCAAGGACATCTGAATACAGTCAACTACATACAAAGTCAAAATGACATTAATGCTAGCATGTTTTCATCACAACAGAATGACCTTTATTCTTAGGTGGGATCCGAGTATTTCAACAATGTACATTGACAAAGGCTAAGAATGTTTCAGCATGACCTACTGGACATTTCTGGCAGATGAGAGAGGGATGAGGCATCAAGAAGAAGAAATACAATAAAATATACGTGCACACACCCACACCTCGCTCTCTCCCTGCATACAGACATGTACTTCTTAACCTCGAACTTCAACGTGTTGCATTTTTGCATTACTTGTTTGGCAAAGAACGGTACTGGTCCTTATCTTGACTGAGAGATACAGTACTCGGTACCTCTGAATATCAAACAATGTTATTTTACATGTGGCATCAAGAGGTTTGCACCAGCAAAACACTTCAGCCTACCCTACGCGTTGCCCCAACCGGTAGAAAGGTCCCACTAAAATAGAAGGTGGTATCATTAATATGTTTTACTCTCAATTCTGTGCATATTACTGGAAAGTTTTGGGGTTTTTTACTTACTATACTGTCATGTTTAAATGAACATTTTTAATTTTAAATCTTACTTGGAGAGGAAAATGTGAGCAAAATTAATTACAGCTACTCATGCCACAAAGGTACTCCAGCTTTGGTAGCACCACACAGTGTGGTCTGTCCCAGGAATGCGAGACTTTACAGAAGGTGACTAAATATCTACTGGTTTGGGATGCTCATCCTAAAACACCTGAAAAGAGGCCAAAAATGGGAAGGCAGCAATTAAAATTAGCAGGTTAAGTATTTGCAAGCTAAGCAACTCTTATGGTGTTTAAGATTAAGTATTCCCCAAATTGAGGCACTTTTTCATCTCCTTTCCCAGATATTTCCACCGTCAAAAATACTGGCCATGACAGACACCAACACTGCACCGTAAGAATGGCAGAATCACCACAGAATAGCAAAAGCTATGGAACAAACTTACCGAAATGACACCTTTTTAAAATGTTTTTATTCATAACAGTATTACATGGTGTGTTACAGAAATTAATGGAAAATTTCTAAAAATTTGTTGGGTTTTTTTTTGTCGTCGCTGAATGCATTATACATAAAGTTAAAAATAATGTGTCCGTATATGTTAACAAATGGTCAATATCTGAGGTAAAGTTAAAGTAGGTTTAGAAATGTACTGCAACAGTCATTTTATCTTTCTCATCTTTATTAAAAAAATATGTGTCAGAATGCAGAAATAAAAATGAATGAAAACCACGGAGTAAACATTTTTGCAAAGAAGGTGCCCAGTACGTTATTAGATGAAAGGTTTCATCAGACACTTGGATGACTACAATCTATCAAAATATCTTTTCATGACAGGTAAAGATCAAGAACCTACGGGGGATGATAACACGATGGCTGGTGGGATTCCCTGGTTTTTAAATTTAAAGTGACGAATTTAGTGCTAGTGAAGGATGAGGGATTAAACAATTGCACAAGCTGGATATTTTAGCTATCTACAATACTGGTACAGTGCAGAGGCCTTCAAGTCCATCTCAACCATGACAAGGACGATCTAATCTTATGACAAGACAATTCAGATTTTTTTGTTTTGGTTTGGTTTTTTTTTTTTTTTTTATTTATGAGCATTGGTAAAGGTAAAATAAAAGTTCACGGTGATGTTCCAGCTGTCTCTCACAGGACACTAAAATCCCAGCCTCACTCCCTCAGCACCTATTCGCAAATCATCCGCTTCCTACAAATATGATGTCAATGGATCCTCTGAGACATAAATCTCTTCTTTTTCTTTCAACGTTTTACCCCATAGCTGGAAATGCACTGATGATACTAAACCTCAAATGTCTATGATGAATCCAAATTATCTTCATGGTTCCATAAGTAGGACAAAACCCAAATGAGCCACTGAGGAAGAAAGTAGCACCACTGTGCAAATTAGGAAAATATTCTTAAAGAAATGTCCTTCAGAAAAGCTTTTACCTCTGCTTTTAATCCTGAAACACCCAATCTGCCAAGTTCTAATTTATCTTCTCCGGTTAGTAAACTTGATCTTCCTTCTGATGGGAAAACAAGATTTGCTACAAAGCTCTTTGCACATGACTATGGAATAAGCATCAAATGACCGTGAATGGGGATAAAAGTTCTCTTCTCTGCAGGTTCATTAGGTCTATTCACAGCTAATTTTTCATTCACATACATTCTGTAACGCACATTTCTCTAATTTCTCTAATTCAAAGTAAAAGACTGGAATCATGTGTGAGATTTGGTTGTACATATCAACAACTGCCACCCCAGTTATTCTGTCTTCTAAACCATTTTTAGCTTATAATAAAAGTAAAATATTTATAACTCCAGGCCTATTTTAATCATGACAAAAATGTAAATCCTAATGTGTCAATTTAAAAACAAAATCTGCACAATAACCCTAAAAACTGATTAATCATTTGATTTCTTTAAGCTTTATTCCTTTTACTATTTTTTTTCTTTTTTTTTTTTTTTTTTTTTTTTAGTGTTAAACCACTAAATTCAATATACTGTAACTGCATAGGAACATCAGGAAAACACATTTGACCTGTATAACAATTCTCTGTAGGGCAAAAATATATAGATTCTTTATGAAAATCATGTGCTAAACATATGAACCCAAACACTGCACTTTTGCTTCATAAATGTAAAAAAACGAAGTTTTAAATTCTTTTGTTCTGTGTGTAAACAGTTTGATGACTTCTATGCAGAGGTTCAAAGGAATGTCAATGAAACGTGATTTCTTGTAAGTGAAATATGTCCATGTGATAACTCTAGATCATAAAATCATGTGTTCCCATTAATTTCACTAGTCGCTGACAAGCTGACTGCTTTTGGCAAATGCACTTGAGCTTCAGCCCATTATCATAAGCATGTGAAAAAACGTATGTGATGTGAGAACCACAAATTGGGTTTGCCACACCTCCAAGCACTGCAATTTGCTACCTTCTCTACTGTGTAATGGCATTAGTAAAAGAATTTTCATAACATTTATATTTACAAAAAAACTGGCAATTTTCATTTGAACTCCTTAAAGCCATTTCTCCTTAAACATTTAAAGAGTTTAACAGTAAGATATTTTTCAAGTTATAAAATAAAAATCCCATTTGATTTTTCTGATGTACAAAAAGTGATAAAGATGAACAATTTGATTACAGAATCAGTTTGTTATTCCAAAATCCATGCCATCCTTGTCCCATTTGTAAAGTCTGCTTCATCCAAATTCCTAAACCAGAATCATACCAGTATTATTTGGCAAATGATTTTTTTTTTTTCATCAAAAATGGCACACAGAGAAGAAAACACTTGTCTGCATAGCGTTACAGCAGCAAGATACCGAAGAAATAAAAATATTCCTTTTCTGCACTTTGTTTAGAGTTTCCTAGGAAATACTGACTCTTTTGTCTTTCCTCAGTGGGACTCGATGTCCATTCTCTACCCACAACACGAGTATTCAAACAGAAAGCAGCATTTCTTCCTCATATGCGCTAGAACTTAAAGGTCCATTTGGCAACATTTTCAGTCAGGATGGATAAACAACCAAGTTTTATTCTGTGGTTTCAAGTTAGGAATCATTTCCGCAGGTGTTTTGCTGTTAGATCTGTCACTCATACAAAACTACAGAATAAGAAATACAAAAAAAATGACACTGCCAGTATTTTTTTTGTTGT